AGAATATTCAGAATTATCAAATCCACTTCAGAAACCCAAAGTGCCAAATGATATTCAACAACTACATTATTAAGCAGGGGCACTACTAAATACATATACCAATATTTGATGGTTGCAGACCATTCACAACTGCACTGGGAACTTGCTATTGCATCTGCTGTCAGCGCACTGACCTGAAATGAAACAATACCTGTAGCTGATGATATATTTTTAAATATTGTTTGATATATTCTTATTCCCAACAGGCCTGCCTGAACGTAAGACTGTCCTCTTTCAGCTAATGTAATGCAACACAATCACAGAAGTTATTTATTTGTTTAAAAGTTGTTTTGGTTGCTTTAACTATTTTATTATCCGCAACAAACTAACCAACTGAATCCTAACATGTGTGAATTTACTTGTGTCCTTGCAAGTCACCATGGATTTACAATTAATATAAAACCACAACCTCACATCTGCCTGTGCTGGCAGGTAAAGGACAAGTCAAGAAAGAGCAAAGCAATCCGCAGCAATCAAATCAAGCAATCAAATTAAAAATCCTGTTTATAACACAGACCCTCAGCACCCTTGCCAATGCATCATCCATTCTTTAAACTCCTTGGAACATCACAGTAGAAGTTTGTGGCTTGACAGATAGTTTCCATCTATTCTTTAGTGAGCAGAAACCGCAGAGATGAAACACTGGTGAGTTCCACATTCTATTTTTTCCAAGAGAGAGAAGGAACCAAAAGAATTGTTGGCCCATAAACTCCTAACGAAAAACCGTACTGAACAATACCCTCTGGGGCATACTTCCAATTTTCTCTCTTCCTCTCACCACAACAGTTTAATCACCCACAATCTCAAATGCTGCTCAAAATATCCCTTAACTCTATTAGGATACATTCCATGGCCTAACTTAATGAGCGTAGGGCTCTCCAGAAGTGTTTTTCTAGTTCAGAAGTCCCAGATGTGCACTGTCAGATGCACATCTTCGACACCTTCACAACATCCCAAGTGTCCAAACAGCATGGGACTTTGGCCAGCCAGTGTCTCCAGCCTATATTCTCATTACCTGGTCATGCCCTAAGTGAACTTCATCTCTCAAGGATCAGGTTGACACCTATTTGGTACCTATTGAGTTGTTCACAGAGATCCCAAGCAAAAAATAACAATTTCCTTCAAGTATTCTCAATGCTGTGTTTTTTCTCATCCATATCAACACACAGAAGAAATTCTGTACTAAAAAATAGTCAGATATTTTGAATGTTTAATAGCTCTTATGTTAAAGATGTAAGGGGAAAAGTAAGAGGATTTCTTTGAAAAAAAGTTACCTACAATGTGCAGCTTCTTTCTAACAATAGATTTAAACCTAGTCATTGTTCTCAACCTCAACAAAGCAGGTTGCTTTCATACAATATACTAAGTTCACAAAAAATACAGACCTAATATGAAACTAAACAAATTAAACTGTTGCCATTAAAGCTATTTCTGAAAATCATCAAGAGTGATTTATTATTCTTGTTTATGCTTTGACAAAAAGAGGACAACTGCTTTTAACTTTACATTACTGGCCAAATTTTGATGAAATACATTCACACTCTTCTACAGTATTAACTTTGTGTGTCAAACTGATATATGTATTATGTAAACATCTACCATAAGAGTAAATTTAAAGCATCCAGAACTAATGAATGAATTCAAACACCATACCAAAAAGAGAGAAAAACCTTTGTGTCTGGACAGAGACGCAGCAGTGCTCCGAAAACATGAACTTAAACTTCACAGTTAGCCTGAAGTTCCAGCATTTCTTCACTAGTTCAGCGGATTGATGACCATAATTTGTGACAGACCCTGAGACCATGCTACTAGTAGCTACTAGGAAAATAGCTCCCGAAACCAGCGACAGACTGACTGAAACAGCTCTGAAGTTGTAGGGACTCCTACGTAGCACATTCCCTCATCATAAAAGTAGCACATGTTCTATCTTGCTGCGTTCTGTGTTTAAGCAGAGTGATAAGTTTCATTACTTTTAGCTTATCTCAAGAAAAGTGCTATGAATTAAAAGCCATTTTAGTGCTGTGCTCAACTGCACTTCTTATTTCACACTGCATCCTTGGTTTCAAACTTTCGTAAATCACCCACACACTTCTCTGTTCAGCTTTCCTTATCTTGCTTTTCTTAATGTTAGGCAAATAATCATTCCATTAAATAAAATTATGATATAGTCCCACAGTTTTGTCAAACATTCTCATACACCACAAACAACAGCTAACCAAGCTCCTGTGAGTTTAAGAAAGAGCAACTCTTGTTTAAGATAACTTTTTAGCGAGACTTATTTCAAATGCATTTAGGTTTCAAGAGCTACACACAAAACATCTGCTATACAGTATTAAGCATTTGGAACTTAAGATATTTTCTGAAAAACAAAACAAAACAAGACATGTAATAATGTAACAGTAACACGCTATAGTTATCCTGTTCCTGAATACTTCAACAGGCAAATGAACCCCCCTTCAAGGAAGTGCTAAATGCAATAATCATTTTGTCTCACCTCGGTGAAAACAGTCCATCATAACACACGTCTTGACTATCACTATTTCAAGCCACATAAATAAAACCTCTCCTGACACGACCACATACAGAGCAAGGACATTACTCCACAGCAAAAATTATTTCATGGCCAAAGTATTCAGAATCTATTATAACACGCTAAACTTAGCAGAAGCTTTAACACTAGAGAAGTTCCAACACATCCCCCACCTTGCAGAGATCTATTTACATATTTGTAAGATAAGCACATCAAAATAATTTCAAGAGGTAGAAGTCCCTCAAAGTCAGGCATCTGCTTCGATTCTCTGGAATGGAAACAGAAAGCACGAGCCTCTTCAGATTGTTTACAGCTGGTCTGTCTCACATGCATGAAAAACACGCTGTAATTCTTCGAACTTGGAGGAATCACAGCTTTATGAACATGTCTGGAAGGTGGAAATACAGTACATATTACACCTCTCTGACGTTTTGCAGTCTACAAATACAGAACATACTGATAACCAAGACTACTCCACTGAAAATGTGGGGAGCCCCTCATAGTACATTCATGCTCTTCCCAAAAGGACAGATGAGCTGTCCTTAAAAGCACCATCAGACCAACCTAACAAAGAATCACATACCTTCCTACTAAGTACTCAGAACAAAAGCAATGTCACAAAGATTTATAACCAAGACTCTTCAGCTAATTACTAAAAACCAGCACATTTGTAGAGGAGTTTTTCCACCCATTTTTCAGGAAGGTGACTCTTGATACAGAATGTATACTATATTAAAAGAATCACTGGCTCTAATACGAGGTGAATCAAATCCAACCTTCAAGTTGCAACATATTTCTTAGTTTTACTGTGAACTGCATTACATTTCCTTCCCTAGGAGTTCCAAAAGCAAACTTATCTCCTTTTTAAAATGTTCCTTTCGATTAGAGTCCATAACATCGACAAGTAAATGTGTGGATACCCTCAAGGAGCACTATCAGCCTGTTCTCTCTCCATTTAAGACACCCTAGAAGTTAACTTCCCCCCCCCCCTTCCTAAAGCTACATAGCTGAATTCACTCAAGTATGAACTTGAACATCTTTACACAAACAGAAACGCTCAGAATGGAACAAGTCACACTTCAGGTTTTCTGAAGCATTTTTAAGAGACCAGGGCGATGTGTATAGATAGAGAAGGTGCAGTCTGAGATGCAAAGGACATCTTTTTCCTATGATTATGGCAGAATAAGCAAGGCGCAGCATACACCTGCGTACAGTTCCAACTAAAAACAGTGAGCAACGATGCCAGCAGAAAATGGTCAGTTCTCCTGCTCTAAATGACAGTTCTAATAATTACAGATGGTTTCTAAAGGTGGGTGGCCTAATAAAAAAGGCCCTGAGGTGATGTTCTGCCAGCCTTGGCCGCGCTGCCGAGTTTTCTAAACTGCCTAGGAAATTGCAACAATTAGGCTTCAGCTTGCTAAAGCGCTCAGGTGATGGATCCAAGGGAGCTGATGGATCCAGGCGGGCCAGATGCAGCAGCAAGAAGCCAGAAGTCTCCCAAAGGAGGATGTTACGAACACGGGACTGAAGCAGTGGAAAAGGAGAGGAACAACCCCCAGACCCTTCCCCAAGGATGTTGGGGACAGAACGCAGCCTTCGTTTATCTCTCCATATACATTTTATTTTTCACGTGGGAGCACTTTTACTTTAAAGTAGCGTCGTGGATCACTGCGAAGAGCAAGGTCCCAGCAACCTGGGTGCCCAGGTCAGCACACTGGGTGGGAAGGGGGAAGCAAACCGGGCTCGGCGGGGCCGGGGCCCACGCGTGGCAGCCCCCCAGCCCGCCCACAGCCTGACAAACGGAGCCGGGGGGGCTGCGGGGGGGCCCTCGCCTTCCTCCCACCCCCTTCGGCAGCCGTGCCAAGAGGTTTGATTCCGCCTGGGAGCGACACCCGACACCAGCTTCCCCAAACCCCGCAGAAAGCCGCGGCTGGGACCGCGGAAGAAGCACGGCGCAGGGTGGGCTGGGGTTTTTCTGGGGGCACGACTTTTGTGGTTGGTTTATTTTTTTTTATTTATTTTTTTTTTTTTTTTTGCAACCCTACGAGTTCACCAGAGTTCCCCCCTACCTCTGCCCCGGGGGGAAATACCCTCGGACCCCAAGGACGTGTCCCGAGGGGGTGCAGAAAGAAGCCCCCCCCCAGTCCCCACCACACACGTGCCTTTAGGGGGAGCAAAGAGGGGTTAGGAGCAGGAATAGCAACCCGTGGCACAAGCACCCCCGCCACCAAAACCCCACTCACCCCAAATCCCGCCCACGTACCCCCCACCAAAACCCCGTCTCACCCCATTCACCCCATCCCGTCCCCATCCCGGGAGGGAAGGAGGGAATGGGGGGGGGGATAAGTTTGGCGAAGTCCTACAACAAAAGGGGCTGAGGCTCCCCCCCACCGCCGCCCCCACGGGCCCCTCGGCGCCCAGAAGAACTCACCCCCGGCCGGGCCGGGCTGGCAGCGAAGCAGGGAGGCGGCCAGGAGGCGCAGCAGCAGCAGCAGGAGCGGCGGCGCCGCCGCCTCCATGTTGTGCCGCAGCAGCAGCCGCCGGAGCGTCTCAGGCAGGCTCCATGCTCGGGGCGCTGCGCTCGGCGGGGAGGGAGGCGGGCAAGGGGGGAGGCGCTGGAGACGACCCTCCTCCTCCTCCTCCTTCTCCTCCTCCGCCTCCTCCTGCTCGCACCCGGGGAGGAGCCCCGAGCCCGGCCGCCCCACGCCCGGGGGAGCGGCCCAGGCCCCGAGCCCGCGGATCCAGGGGACGCCGGGCTCTGGGGGGCTGTTGGGGCGGTTCTGTCTTTGAGGCTGCTTGGGGGGGGGGGAGTTAGGGGTGTTTTCTTTTCCTTCTTCCCTTCTTGTTTTCTTCCTTCTTTACTTCTTCCGTCCTTGTTCCTGTCTTCTTCCCTTCCTTCCCTCCTTTCCCTTTCCCTCTTCTTTCTGGAGCACTTTAAAACCAGGCAGGAGATTGCAAGGGGGGCAGAGGAAGGGTCAGAAAAAGTTGCTTGCCCCATGTTTAAAAAGAAGAGTTTCTGCAACTGATGTAGAAAAGCAGTGTGAAGATGCATGCTCCTTTACCTGTCTCCAGGAAAAAAGGTGGGTGCCTGCTCCTGTGAGGGGGAATTTTCCTTTCTCTTCTCACCAAAACATTTTCTGAAAACTCTTCTCATCTACCTTACTTCTCAAATAAAGGCACTTTTCAGCAGCAAGTTTGTGTTGCCTGTTCATGTAAACGCATTACCAACAAGAAAGGGGCAGAAGCATGTTATACAAAAGTAGAGGCTAAAAAAGATAAAGATGGCACTGACTGGATTTAGACAGATTTCAACAGAGAACACATTTTCCAAAGGAAGGTATCTGCTTTAAGAATAACTCTTTAGGCTAGAAAAAGCCATTGGTGACCAACTGGACCCATGCAGCAAACCAAGAGAACTATTCATGGGCATAAACTGCAGTTTCATGCCACATGGAAGTTCATTCTGCACAGTAGCATGGAGCTGGAATAAAATGTTTGAATGTTTCTTTTTAGAGAGTATTCTCACTTGGTATCCCCTTTCCTTCCTGAATCAGCCTACCTCAATTAACAGATTGGGTGGCAGACTTAAAGCTAAAGCAAAGGGGAGAGAGACCAGGCTATGGAGGTAGGCAACTACAGAAAAAAAAGTCTTACCAGAATGTTTTTTGGGGGGCTTTGATGATAAGACCTCTGCTAAAACATTAATTGCTATCTAAAGTGCTGGCAAATCTAGTAGCAGTCAGGAGGAATGCAGTATTCCTCCAAACTGGATGATGCCATTTTAACCTCAGCTAATAAGTTGTTGGGGTTTGGGGAGAAAATTAAACTTGGGCAACTCCAAAAGGAAGTCTGACCTGTGTGCTGAGAAAGCTGCCTCCCACCTTTTTGCCAGCCCTGCAAGAATTCCTCCAGCAAAACCTGGGAGAGCAAAGGTGTGACATTCCTGAAATATCGGACACATACATTTGTGAGGAAGTAAAAAACTGGTTAAAAATACCTTATTGGAATAGCAACAACATAGTGTTACACTTTTCTTTTTTCTTTTCCTGATAGAAGAAAGAGGCACTCCTTTCAGAGAAGGTTGCATGCACACAGTACCCAAGTAGGACTCCAAGAACAGAGCCAAGAAAACGTAGGTGAAACAAGGCATTGAGTAACCCCCTGGGCAAGTCACAGTCTAGCATTTCATCAGTTTCTCCTTTCATGAAAGGGGCAGGGGGAATAATTTTCCTTTCATCCTGTCCACATAGTGTAAAAGAAGTTGCAGCAGGTTTAGGGCCTGGCTATAGGAAGAAGGAAGAGGAGAAGTGCAGACTGCAAGCCCAGCACACCCCCTCGAAGTTGCAAGCAGGCCGGTTCTTGCGTTCTGCCATTGTGGTCATCCCTGACGGAGAAAGGAGGGAAGTGCAGAGGCATAGAAGGGAAAACAAAGAGCCCAGCTGTATGTGAACTCTGAGGGATGTCCTTCGGGGTAGCCTAGCCATCCCACCACAGCTGGAAAACTTGGCTTGACTGAATTGATTTAAATGCTTTCTATGTATTTACTCCTCCTGGATTTCTCCCTCCTATCCCAGTTTACAGCATCCTTCTCTCCCAGCTGCCAGAGCTGTCTGAGCTCCTGTAGAGCTAAACACTTAATGACAACTGCAGAAGCCCCTAAAGTGAATTTACTGCCTTATAAATGACACACAGGTTTATTTTATGGTGAATATCAGTACCAAGACATGCATCTTTATTCCTCTGGGGCAGCACTGTTTATTGAAGACAAAGTCACTAGATCCAAATCCGTTGAGGATATTCTGTGGTGCTTTACAAAAAGAATGCAAAGTGAACAGAAAATAATAAGACTACATTTTCCTTTACTACTCCTAAGACCATAAGACTGAATCACTTTCCTTTTTCAGCATCTCAAATACACTTCTTCATACTTCCTCACCCACCTTTTGGACAGAAAGCAGCCTCAAACTAGAACTATGTAGGGACTCAGTCCTTCTCACCCTTTATCACAATAGAAAATGTGTATAGGTAATCTAGAATAAGAAAGAAATGACTGAGGAAAATATCATCTGGATGCAGGTTCCCTTGTCTCCTCCAAAAACTCAATGCAAGGAGGACACCACGTATACAACAGCCACAGTTAAGATTACACCTACTGAGAAGACATCTGAAGAAATCTTCGCATAGGATGAGTGTCGTTATGGGCTCACCATGACATGCTTCAGAAGATTTCAGCTTTGTCTCCACATCCATCCATCAGACTCTATAGGAACCACTCAGTGGCTCCCGCAACATCAGTTGCTTGTATTCTGCCCACATGGTAAATTTTTTCCTCTTCCTTTATCTGTATTGCCAGTTCAGAGCATTATTCCCTGCAGATGCTAGCACAGTCCAAGCCAGGTCTGAGGTTGCACAGGACTTTCAGGCACTGCTTTGAAAAAAGTCACTTGTTGAGCATTAAATGACACTTAAATGTTTAGAACTAAATAGCTGCACTGCCACTAATTAAGCTGCCTGACATGGTAAAAGAGCATTATCATTACTACCTCCTAATCCCTAGAAAAAAAGGCCATAAGACATACACATTTGTTTACATCATGCAGGTTCCCTGGCATTGCACAGTCATAAAAGCAGATCTTGTTCAGATCAAATACTCCCCAAAATATCTCCACAACCCAACATTCTTTTTTTTTTTTTTTAAAATGGCCAGTTTATTGTTTCTTTCCCCTCCCCAGATAAACTATAACATGAACTGAACAGTTAAAACAGCAAGAATCTGTCATACAGACATAAAAAATGTGTGATTTAAGTTAAAGCCAGTGATCTTTCAGCCTCTGGTTTGTATGCTTTAAGACACTTATGAAAATAACAACGAAAAGCAAGTCAAACTTTGTTATGTTAAATTTTCTATACAGGACTTGTTATGCTTATTAGGAGAGCTATAAGGGTTCAAGCACTGAAAAAGGTTAAAAGGTTTAGGTTGGTCAGGAAAGGGTTATGGTTAAATATCAAAAAAGCTACTCTTTTGGGGCCTAGGCAGCCAAGCAAAAGAGCGTGTGTGCGTTATAGATACAACTGTAGAACACTGTGCATTATACATGTATAAACTGGAGAACTTTCCTTCCCAGGCAGGGTTCCAGTGCCATGCATGGAAGTAAAACCCTGACATTTCTAGTGCAGCCATTTCCAGTGTCGTGACCCCAGTGAGGTTACAGCAGCTAAACAGGGCTGGGAGGGGAAAAAAAAAAAAAAAAAAAAAAAAAAAAAAGACAATTTTGTCAAATAGTTATATTCTAAGGAAGGGAAGTGCTGTAAGTAATTTAGATGGGACTACAGAAGGAAGGAGCCCGAGAATGGCAATCTTTAAGCATTTGCCAGTGCTTGAGATCTTCCACAGTACTCAGGGCCCATCTGCCAAGAGCTTCTACTCCAACAGAGACAAAAAGAACACACATGCCAATAATGTAAATACAGGAAAATCTGGAGACATTGCAAGTCAAGAGATCAGAGTGCTATGGGACAGACTTCCTGGAAGGAGTGAGCTTAGGGAGAGATGGCTGACAGGTTTGCAAGAGGAACACCAATGTTAAAAAAAAATGTATGAAAGGCGTCCTGGTAGTATTAATTGAAACAATAGTTAAGGTTGTCCTGTGTTAATGAGATGGCAAGGGTAAAGAGCCTGTTCCCAAAGCCTCCTGCTGGCCAGCAGCCTCAGGAACAGAGGGGCTGACACTGCCTGAGGAAGAGAAACATGTCACCATAAAAAGTTATGAAAACATAAAAATAGTTCAGTGGGTTTTTTTGGTGGTGATTCTTGGACTCTGAATACTTTTCTGGTCACAACTGAACTCCCTGCTACAGCTACCAGACCAGCAGTCATCACATTTCTCTGCGCTGTACAAGCAAGAGTTGCTGTTTAAAATTTCCATGCAGCTACCTTCACAAAGCCAGTTGTAAATCTATTTGAGCTGCACTTTACATCTCATTATCGGTCACCAAAGTTCTGTATCAAAGTGAGGAAATATCATCCCTTTAGCAGGAAGTAAGGGAACTGTGAAAGTGTGAAAGGAGAGTGATTCTGCCTGGAGAAACACAGAAAGCCAGCTGTAATTTTTTGCCCTATATTCCTCATGGAAGACTTTTTTTTTTTTTTTTTTTTTTTACAAGCAACTCCAGTATTCCAGTGGAAATCTAAAGCGACAGCAAAAATTAAAGGAGTCAGCACAGAAATAAGTATTGAAGTAGCACTACAAAAATCCCCAAATGAAACACTTTTTTTTTGTTGTTTTTTTAAGAAATTCAGATAAGTTGAACATAATATGTTCTGCCTGATCCAGACTGCAAGGTCATTAGATCTAGCCTATGCTGCATCCACATAACTGACCAAGTAGGTCCATTCATAGAGCTATGCATCTCTCTTTTTCCAGTGCTTGCAGGGACCTAAAACATTAGGTTTGCACAGCCATTAACACAAGGTATCACCTGAGGCCTTACTACAACAGCCAGTAGCAGGTTTCTTCAGTCTCACTCCAATGCTATATTCATCACATGGGAACTTCTCAAGGAGTATCTCAGCCCCAGTCAAGACATAAGATAAAGGGTAACCTGAGATGCCTTCTCCAAATGCAGCATTGACTGGAAAGAACTGGGCTTGAGATAAGAAGAATGTAAGAGCAGATCCTGAAAGGGTCAGAGAGAGGTGTTGTGATTTAGGGTGGCATCTTTACATGCCTCTACACTGCTCCAAGCATCTCTGCATTACACAGGAGTCTTGTACCAAGCAGAGCAAGGAAAGATTCTTATGAAGGATCCTGAAGCCCCGGTAATCTCATTGTTTGAAGAAAAGCATTATGCAGTAATTGATGTCTATAAATGATCATTCCACATCTCCCATTTGCCCACCCATGATAACTGGCTTTTCACCACAACATTCAATTCACTGCAAACTTCGGTTGGTGTATTTGCCTTCTTTTCCCTATGTACCATAGGTTTGCTACAGCTGGCAGATTACAGTCAGTGGTTGCAAACAGAAGCTCCACGCAGTCATACTCAAACTGCTGAGTAGCCCATACTTCTCATAGTAGAAGAGGTAAATCTGGCATCCATCTGTCTTCAGAGACACAGCATTTATTCATACAACAGCCAAGTCCTGCCTCACTTTACCCCCAACCAACTGTGGTTGATACATCTAAAATAATACTATAAATATTATAAAATAATACAATAAAAATAAGCTGCTACAATGTGTGTGACAGGCCACAGAATGTGCTACATTTGTAGTGTGATTACCCTTTCAGCAAGCACATGGGTGTAGAGAGGAAACATTGCAAAACACCATGATCTGTTAGCACTAGTACATGCCTGTCATATTCATTCACACCTTAAAAGACAAAGCTCACCTCCAAGCATTAAAAGCATCACCAAGTCAAGTAGTGTAAGATTAGAAGATGTAAAAATAGTATCAGAGCAAACTGGTGGTAAGATGCTCCCTTAACTAAGTTATAGCTAAGGTCACAAAGGTCATTTCTTTGACATTTTCAGCACGTAAAAAGAAAATTCTTTGACTTTTCAAAGCTGCTTAAGATAAAAAGTGTTGTAAGCAGGGGTGAAGCCATGCTCGACTAGTTACTGTCTGACTAATTTTTGTGGGCGGTTAAGATGCCAGGCAAGACTTGCTTTGTCCTGGCAAGATGTGAATCTTTCTTGTATGCAGTGGGAAAGGCCCCACGACATGGCTCAGTGCCATGACTATTTAGATATTAAAATGGTGGATGTTGAAACTGGTCCCAATTGCAATGTTACATGAACCCGACGTGCTAGCTGCCTGCTGACAGCACTTGGAGTGGTTCTTGCTGGGATCGCACCAAGTGCTCCTGTCGGCTGCCAAAGAAAGGAGGTGGAAGGTAAGGGAAAAAAAAAAAAAGAAAAAGAAAGTGACGTGCAAAGGAAAAGCTGCAGACAGGTGTAAATGGGAAAAGAGTCCTGACTTCCTATAGTATTTCTATAGTATTTATGCAGGCATCAATACATACACGTGCAAGTTTCCTACATTTAGCATTCTCTTGAACATTATCCTCTTAGCACTTCGTAAACAGGAGAACCTATGATATGCCCACACTGAGTTCACTGTGTTGCAAGTCAGTTGACTGAAACTCTGTACAGAAAACTGAAGTTATTTCTGTGGTGGTGCAACAGCGTGAAATGTGCCTGAAGGTCGGTAATGGTGAATAACTTCCCGTAGATGGCAGCATTGGTGAGCATCACCAGCCACACCGCAGGTCCGGATAGTCCAACTAATACCTACGATTTTTGTAGCACCTTTCACTGTTGGAAAGCAAGGCGGTGTTTGTTTGTTTTTTTAATCTATTAATGATTCCGGACACTTCACCACTCACGTTCACCGATATTTCTCTGATGCTGAGATCATACATTAAACAAACAATATTTGCACAGTACAAATACATAACAGACACGCGTTTTGGTACAGTACAGCACATACAGAGGCACAGGAATGTGGTGCTGAGGCACCACTCAGGAGTTCAGAACTTCTGCACAAGAATTTATTTGAAAGCTAATACTTGTACTAATGAAATATCAGCATAGCATCATCAATTAAAACAAAAAACTTACGACGTTCAGCTTAGGAAACAGAAGTGTTAAGTATTAGGGTTTTATTAACTGGATTTCTATGAGATCAAAACAATTGCTTAAGTCAACATATCAGAGCATTTGTGCCAAACATGACAGTGTTAATATCTTGGACTCCTTCACTCCAGAGAAAAAAAAGTGTCTTTACAAGAGATTTCCACCAGCTCTATCTTCAGTTTACTGTTTGACTTCACTGCAGAAACAGGCCAGTCTTAAAGTTAGCTTTGATTTACTGATTTTCACCTCTCCAGCATTTCTGGGTTTTCCTTGCTGCTGCGTTCCCTGGGGGATTTTGTAAAGTAAGCATCTGAATTCCTCAATGTGGCTGGTAAATCAAGAATAAAACCTGACAGAAGTGTAATTTACACCCGGTGTAAATTCAGGCCATAAGAAAACTGTTTAGAAACCAAGTTATAAAACTTCAGCCAAATTGAAATATGGCAATTTTCATTATGAGAATACCTTTAATTGCCAGGGGAAGGAAGGGACTAGTGAGACAGGAATATCACAGAGCATGGGCTGTTCCACAAGTTCCTCAACCATACATGAGGAGAAACACTGTGGATGCAAAATCTTGAGAAACCACACACAGGATTGAAGTCCTCCCTATTTGATGCTAGTAGTGTTGAAACACACTGAAACAAAGGAGGAACACAAGCTGGTTGAGAGTGACCAAACAACAAAGCCTCAGAGCCTTAAGAAAGAGCGAGAAAAAACAGTTTAAGCTATTGTAAGGAACATGGAATTAAATGAACAGAATTCAGAGGAAAGATCTCATGGGAAAGAAGCTCAGACAGGTCTCCTATCCTTAAAGAAAGGGTACCTAAGACACAAACTGCCCTAACATAAAAGTTGCAGGGACAAAGAGACCAAATCATGACTTCTTCAGCAGCCCTCCCCACAGAATGAAAGCCTGTGGATATAAAACAACGGTACAGGTATACAGAGATAATCAGGGAGGCCATGGCAGAAACAAAAATACAACTAGCATGGAGAAGAAAGATGACAAAGCTTGCCTTGTTAGAATAACAGAGAAAGGAAAACAATTGAGGAATTGATTTACTACAAGACAATGAAGTCTCTTGTTAGATGTCATGAAGCAGGCATAGTTTTTAATAGACACTGAAGCAAAAAATCATTTTAAACCACTATGGATCAGGCAGTCAACATAATTAATAACAATGTATGGGAAAACCTCAGGATAGAATTCAGGAAGAACAGAATAGACTTGATACATTGTTCTTAGTTGGATATTATTAATCCTGGGAAATTTAGGAGAACCTTCAGAGCCATTACAGGTAATCTCTGACAGTTTGTGCAGGATTGGAAAGTTTCTGGAAGACAGAAGAGTCATCCACACATTTTGAATGCAGACTGTATTCATCTTTGAAAAGGGAAAGGGAGGACTCAGAAGCATGACTTGCTTAGTTCAACTTCAATTCCAACAAAAACCAACACAAACCGTTTGGAAGCACCCACCAGGTAAATCATGAGGTAAGTAACATCCAGCACACATCTGTCACAAACAAATCACTTGAAGCGTGTTTAAATTCCTTTTTATGATACAGACAGATGACAAGCACAGGAAACCACATACTTTAACTCTGCTAAGGGCTTTAGCACTGTTTCACATGACCTCAAAAGCTAACCAGAAAAATATGGGTTGGATGAAAATGCTACAGAGTAGCTGTGATATTCATTGGAAAATGGCATCAGTAGCTGCAACAGTCATCAGGATTGGCTGGTCTATAGGAAAGAGAACTGAGAAAAGTGAGAAGACTATTAGCTTCTTTAAAGAGAAAAGAAAAAAATTTACACCCTTGGTAAACAGGTCAAGAAGCTCAAATCACAGCAAGGGAAGTCCAGGTTAGAACTGAGGAAAATTATTATAAGGCTAGCTGGAACAGATGCTAATGGAGAGTGAGGAATCAGCCCTGCCAGAGGTTTTAAGCAATCCAGTAAGACACACACCTCAGATTTATTGCACACAGTCAGTTCTCTCCTGAGGCTGGGTCATGGGCCAGCTGACCTCTTGCTGTCCCTTTTTCACCCTGATTTTAACAATTCCTTACAAAAGAATTGCATTAGTTTACTAGGATGCCCAGTAGCCCAAAGGGGTAAACCAGTGCTAATGAACTGAAGTACAAATTGACTAGCTTCTCTTCTCTTGCCCAGGCTTAAAAAAAAAAAAATACTCACCAAGAAGGGGGAAAAAATAAAGAAGTAGATAAAGCTGTTAAGCTGCTTTACTTTAGTAATCTCGGAAGTCATGGCATTAGAAAGGGCTCTGCCACACTGCAAATTGCTGATGCTGCTCTGTGGTTTCATGGGGTAACAAGATGCCCATCCAGCCACAGCCATTGCACACACTTTTCACTGTGCAGCAGGCAGATTTGGACAGCAATGGAATGAAAATAGAGGCAACATCACCTAATGAAGAGGGCATGGTCTGAGGTGCTGAATGCTTGGGTTGTATTCTCAAGTTCAGCATCTGATGATACTTTTACTGTGTGCTTTGCTTTAACCACCTACAAAAGGGAGAAGAATCCTACTTTCCTCTGAAATGTTTTGAAGTCCATACGTAAAGAACACTACATCACAACTACACCACCTTCCATCAATTCATCAGTGAGGAAAACAAAAGATTCCTCATGTTAAAATCATGTCTTTACCTTCCTTTAAGTCCCAAAGGACTTTTAGGATGCACCGCCTGCTCATGTGAAGAGGCCCAGTTCAACGGCGGTCAATCCTGTTTTGGTCTACACAGTCTATGACATGAGACAAGCCACGCTGACATCTGTTATTATTGCAAAAAGACACTATAAATTCTGAAACAACCCAAAACCAAATGGAAAATAAAGGGAAAACACAACAGAAATAAAGGCCCCTTAGCAACTGGGCAATAAAAAGCCAAAGTGGAATGTATAAAGCAGCTACTTGCAAACAAGGAGCTCACACTTTATCTGCCAAGACTAAAAGACTAACCTCAGTAAAGCATGCCAGGGGAAAAAAAAAGAAATCTACATAGGGGCAATAGCTCTGTGTGAGACCATTAGTAAGTATAAGCTGCAACAGGTTATTAAGCAGCTTGGATTTAGGGGGGGGGGAAAGGTTTTTCAAGCCTCCAAAAACTTCAGGCTGAAATCTGATCATGACTCTACTTAGTATAAAACACCAGAACTCCTCCTACTTGAACTAAAAGGTATGTCTTTGAATAATTGCAATTAAAAGAGGGCAAGTGGTAGCTAAACCTATGGCAGTGAATTTCAGCAAGAAGCTGTGGAATGCACTTTGTATTGCTACTTGGTCAAAGGGGGAGCACTCACATTGCTTGTTTGGAGAAAATGGGTGTGGGGAAGTCTGCCTGTGCCTTCTCTCTGAAGTGGTTGTATTTGGAGTATGAAAGTCTCATCTCTGGAGGACTGGAGAGGAAAAGCAGAGAAGCCACATCCCGTGGAATTTCAGCTGACTGGGAAGCAGGAGCCAGACCTGTTCTAGTTCTGTAACCTGTTTGAGAGGCCAAAAAGAACAAAGAAAGAGAAACAACAACTAAGCTATCCTTCCAAAATTCATCAATGCCTTATTGATACCCTCTCCTTGGGCAACTTGACCTGCATATTATCTTTGTCCTGTCTTTGCCAGGAGAAAGGACACAAAGCCTGTTGCTTTCTCTGTGTTCCAGCCCATGCTATCTGGATGGGAGAGGCTGAATCCTTCTTTCCATACCTCCCTGCTATTTTCAAGCCTTGTAAGTGAAGAATAATCATTATTTGTGACCCACGGGGAAAAATAATAAAAAATAAGTTGGAAGAGAAGAGATAGGGGAAAAGATTGAGGGAAGGAGGTAGTCTGAGCTGTTGACTTGTTGTTACAGCAGAAGTGAAAAAGCTTGAGCTCTTAGCACTCAAATTTCCAAGAAACACATGACGTTAGAGACGCAGTCTGTGCTCATCAGCCCTTGCTTAAATATTTTCTTTGGCTCCATGACTGTCCCTGGCCTGAGCTCCTGGCGCCGTGATGTCACTGTAAGAAGCCAACACCAGAGCCCTGGTAGGAGTGGTGGTCATCATGCTGGCTTTCTGGTACTGCCCTGGGTTAGTCATCAGCTCCCCGTTATCACAATAACATGTCCTCAGGGAACAGGCCAGTTTTTGGTTTTAACGTTCTTATTTCCCTCATAAACAAGAGGAACTCTCGTTTATTTGCTCTTTAACTATAAGAAATAATCCAAAAGGACTCTGAAGGAGTTTGTGGGCACAACCCAGGCTGGAATAGGTGGGAAACAAACAGCTTTGAATTCAAAGACCAAACTCATTAGTAAGCTGGTATTCCTGTAAGGTAGGACATCATCAGTGCTGAGTCTTACTTAGAGGACAAGCAAAAAATCATTCACCTCCTTCCCTTAAAATAGGACGGCAACCAGGAAGAGTAAAGTGAAATATCCCAATATCTTACATACACACACAATGCAAGACCAGGTGTGTAGACTGGCAGTCATATAAACATTGAAATAAAAGGCTGGATTTCTTAAACATCTCAGGGTACTAAGGATGGAAAGACTGGGCCCAAGGGTGGCACTTCAGAAACTCAGGCCTAGTTGCTGGGTGTTCACAGCACCCAAATACCTGGTCCCACTTCACTAACGCTTGTGCTATCTGGAAGTGTCTCCTCTTCCCCTGGGGAAGGTCTGGCCAACTGACTAAGCCAGCCCAAGTCTGCTGAGGAGAGGATGGCTCACAGAAGGTGGCACAACTGCAGGCTGATCTCCAGAGAAGCAGCCACACAGGTGGTGACAAACAGAGCTTCTGTACCCTGTGTGGGACTCTTCTGCACAACCGGCGGGTAAGGGGTATCTCAATGTTACTGGACATCCCTGTTCCAACACTGGGATGACACACTGATCTTGCCTCAAAGATGAGGCCAGAGCAACTCTTGACCTGTGAACAGCCTGTGATAGTGCATGTATGTGCGCCAGCACATTTCTAGATCAGAGCTACAGAGCTCTTCTCCACACCTCTCATCCTCCCTTCTGCCCTCCACTCCCTGTGGTGTAAGTTTTTGCAGAAACTCAGCGTAGCAGCCATAAATACCAGTATTTCTTCCACAGTACACATTCAAGCTGGCCTGAGAACAGGCTTTAAAATATAATTTAAAAAGCAAGCAAAATATTCTTAAACACAGACTATAAAGAGACAAGAGTCCAGCCCCTGGTACAGCTGGAAACTGCATTGCAGTTACTGCCAGGTGAGGTCAGCAATTTATTGTTTCAGTGGAGAAGGGAAGGAAAGGACAACTCAATGCCAAGCTCATTCAAGTACCACCTGGGCTGTTTAAGTGATTTCCAGCATCTTCCAGCCTCTAACCCTTAGCCTGCCTTTTACACCAGCTCTACCACAGCATAGAGTGTTCCTTGTCACCAAGTCCTCCTCTTGCTCTCTTATAATGGAAAACAGCTGTGGCAGGCATGTCCCAAACAAAGCCTTACACATTCCTGGTGGAACTGCCTCCTCACCGCCAAAACCCCCAGACTTTATATTTACTACAGAAAATTCGAAAAGACAACCACTTTTCCTCCTCCAAGCTGTAATTTCCTCCCTGACAGGCCTGTCAAATTTAAGATTTCATGTGCTATTCTTATCTTGAATCCCTGCTTACCCCCTGCCCCACAGCTTAGGAAAGCTGACATCCCTCCAGCACCATGAACATTGCTATAAGTAGCTTCTGTGGAGCAGAGCAGCACATTCTTCTTTCTCTAAAAAACACCACAGAGGGTGGTTTGAAGTAGAGATAGGAAAATCACTGCAGAGCAGCAAGAATCTGACTGAACCTCACTACAATTTCTCACCAGGTGGAATCCTGATTAAAACAGGCAGGTGATGAACAGCTCTTCTGTTTCACTTTGCATCCCATTTTCTGATAGAAACTATTACGGCAAAATTCAGAGAGAAGGTTTGGGCATGTGATCTTTCAGGTTCAGTTCTACAAACTGGACAAGTTTGGGTGATTGTGTTTAGGTTTCAGTACAGAAGAAAGCGCTGCGTACCTACTGAACAGAAGGCTGGTGAGAATTTTACCCCTCCGGTTTGGCTGTGAAAGTCAAGTCGTGATGTGGCCCTTGTTGGCACAAAAACAACTGAATTCATTTTGTTGGACTGCACTCTGAGGAACCCGGGACAACATAAATTGATTTGAACCACACTACCAACCCCAGAAATCTATCATCTGCCATTTTTGCTACTCAAAGGAAAAAAAAAAAAAAAAAAGCATGTGCAAGCCATTGACATAGCCAAGACATACTGAATGATTTCAGGCACCAGCAACACATTTCAGTGCACCCTCTTGTAATGTGGTGACTTTCAGAGCTGCTTAGGGATTTCTTTTTTTTTTTTGTTTTTCCTTCCCAGAAAATATTAGTTCCTGTAATGCTGAGGTCCTGCCTGCCTTTTTGCTGCTCAATTCTCCTCCCACCCAGCAATCTCTGTTTCAAGATCAACCTGAGCTACTGGCAGCCAGGGCTAGGGAAAAGGAGCAGTGACCAGGCAGGGAGAAGCACTGACACTATACTTTCTTTCCTGATATTTTTTTCTCCAGTTTTCTGAGCTCTAGGTCAGCCACATAAGTTATCAAAATTTGTTCTAACATTACACAAAGAACTGAGGGAGAATGTGAAAGCAAGGCCGAACAAAGGAGGGTCACAAAGCAGGCTCTTCTCCCACAAAACCTTTGTTTACTGAGTACACTAATAACTAGGATGTACCAAGACTATCTCAAGGCTTGCTCTCCTGCAAGCTAGCTTCAGGTACTAATTTCCTTAACAGTGGAATTCTTGTGGCTTAGAAAGACAAGCTTGCTGTCAGCTTGACAGCCAAAGAGCAAGTTTTTCTGCATTTTAACCCCTACCTTTCTCCCCTTCTCAGCCCAGCAGCATTGCTACATGGGCAGCATGCTAGACCAACTGCCTCCCTGGAGAAGATGAGTGCACAAATACAAGCAGGCCTCCAGGATTTCTCCTCTTGCTCCACCTACAGCAAAGTTTGACCGTCCTGTCCATCGCACCTGCTAAGCTGGAATGGCTACAAAAAGGCTGATATTTCTTCCCCTTCCTTTAAAGGTCATGAATTTCATGCAAACAATGGTTTTCACAAAGGAAATGTTAGTTCTATTGGCACCTCTGTAGACAACACTGATTCAATGCACAGAAACAGGTGGCTTAGATGCAGGGGGCTCACCTGTGACTAAACAAGCCTGAAGGTGTGCAAGGAACCCCATCCTTTCAGGTCTACTTTGAAAATGGCTTCATTGATTTAGGTCAAAGGAGGAAAAAAAAATCCCTACCACCACATCTTTTCAGAGGCATCTGCTAGGCCTTTGCCTTTTCCTCTCTAGGGATTCATTGGCTCTGTCTCTCCACCCAAGTACATCATAAGGACCGATGTATAGGTGAGACTAAAGGTTCACCTCACCTCTTTCTCCCTCCAGACAGAAGCATGTTGGGATTTCTGTGGTTTACAGGAGTCAACGGAGAAAGCATATGAGACAGATTGTGTATGGAACAATCCCTCCCCTGCCACACCCTCCTTACTCCTGATGATTAGCAAATCACTCCTGTATCCCACAAAGGTCGTTCTCACCAGAGTACCTAGAGGCCATAGCAGCAAATACCAGCATCCATGGGACTTGCTGGAGCTTGTACTCACAGCTATATTTTGAGCAGGTAAGGCCATCCCAGCTCCATCTGCAAGCATCTCAAAGTTCACCTCCCACAGGGGTTTTCAGCCAATTCAGTGCAGTGGGTTGGTGAGCCTGTTAGCAGAAGTCCCTGGAGTAATAGTTTGTGAATACTTCCTCCTACCTATCCCTCCCAACAGATTTTCATGACTAACATCAAAATCTGATACTGAGACTTCTCCAATGAGGGTGTGCATAAATATATATGAAGTTTTAATACTACAGTACATGGAGCCAGCTCACATCTGGCCTAAAACAAATCTACCAATAAGATAGGATCAGGACAACCCATTTTGCATGGGCAGGGAAATGCCATCTCCTGCCCACTTGACCTCTGGCTGTAGCATTTGCTGCAGCCACAAGCAATCTGCCTACTCCAGTGCCTCTGAGCCACCAGGTGGGTGGCCTTAGAGAAAACTGAGTCACAGCTCATTTCTGGCCACCAGTTGACAATCAAAGCCAATCTCAGCAAAATCTACATAGGATGCAGTGGTCAGCATTTGGCCTGTAATTTCCTGTGTTACACATAATTATATTATCCTTAATGTAGAGGTAGGGCCACCGTATGTTTTTCACATCCCCCACTTGTATCATCACCAGCACCCAGCTGTGCTCTACAGAAGATTCCCAGTAACTTTCCTGAGGTCAGATATGTAGAATAAGTAGTATGTGGATGAGGAACAAAGCCCTTTCATTATTTTTATGGACATAAATACAGCATTTATTACAATTAAACCAGACACATAACATTACTGAAAGAACATTGAGGGACTGCAAAGAGCTCAAAATAAAGGTTTAGTACAGCAGCACCCTCCAGATATCACCAAGGTGAAAGAAGTGACAAGTGAGCAAGCCTGTATAAGGATGATGTGGACACATTTACAGAGCACAGGTGCAGCCATTTTCTCCAGCCCTTCTGATTTTCCAGCACCAGGCATATGTACCAAGCAGGTTTCTCCTACACGCAGTAGGGAAGGCAAAAATCCTTTCTCAAATTACATGCTGTCCCCTTCCCACAGGCAATTACTTCAGCAGCTGAAGTCTGTGGTTAATTTGTGCAGGAAACTGCAGCATCTCGCCCCATTTCAGCAGGAGATTTGTGGCATTGCAGAAAGGCAGGAGCAGCTGCTGCTGTATTTTAAAGAAAGCATGCAGGACACTTCTCTGCAGGAAAGAAGTTACAGAATGGGGCAAGGAATAGTCACAACTTCCATAAATGACAAAGGTTTGGTTGCTCCAAACTGTAATCACAGCAGACCTCACAATTTTTTCATTACCCTCATAAATTACCCAATGAGAAACCTCCTTCCTAAAACCTTGTAAAATCCCATAAAATATGTCGTGTTGTTCCAACACCACTGTCCATGCAGTGTCCTGCACAGAATGCTGGCACTTTCATCCTCCAGAGAAGCCCATAACAGTGGGTTACCTGCAGGTCACTTTGGTCCCACTAAAACCCTGCAGAGCCATCCTTAAAACATTTGGAGCAGAGCTGAAACAGCAGCTTTCCAGCTTTTAAAATCAGTGTTTTAGAAGTATGCACGTAAGAGCGAGTGATAAAACACACATACCGCTTACAGGAAGAAAAAGTGGAACGAAGAGGCTGTTTTGCCTCTCTGCATGACTGCTATGCAGCTTTTTTCAGCTGCAAAAACTCACTTCTACAAAGCACCAAAGGTTATTTAATCACAATCAATGCCATTAAATCAGGCCACATTAGGAAAAGAGGTAAGAGATGGCAAAAGCCTGCGCTGGATACCTTTTGTAACTGCAGTAGTTTTAGCTCATCCAGCTTTATAACCTTACCCAGCACATACAGGCGTGCACACATGCAATGCCTGCAGCAGAGCCTGCGCCTTTCTGGTGGCCATCCTCAGGGTACAACAGCCCCTGGAAAGGTTGCAGAGACGCTGGAGAGCCAAACCCAGGTCCTCTGAGAAATTTACCCTCCATCTCCCTCTGGTGGCTCGGTGCAGCACTGTGACACCGAGCCCGAGGTTGGCAGAAGGCAGCAAGTTAGCATCCAGCTCTCCAAACAGCAGCTTAAGCTCCAAGACACTGGCTCCTGGCAGCAAACAGGGATTTAAGCGAATCATATGCAACTTAACTCAATTTTCAACATTACACCCTCCCTAAGACTTCAAGAAGTCATGAATTTCCAATGAAAAAAATATAAAATTATATTTTTACTTGCCTTTAGGGATCACATCTCCCAGCACTTCTCCTTAAGCTTTAAGATGAAAAATTTGACCCTTAAGTGATCACCTCATTTGTTTAGCTGGAAGGAACTGTTCAGGTGAAATACCACATATGATGCGAGAACTGGCAGACTAGTTTGACTGGGGCCCAGCATTTAATTATTACTTTCTGTTGTGGAAACAGCAATCAAAGTGGATGAAAGGTTCTCAGACTACTCTGGCATAGCCAATAATCCTGAATTCTCAAAGTTCAGGCAATCAAATCCCCAGATGCCACCTACCCATCCAGAAGCACTCTCTTATTCCTTGGCACTAATCAATGGATTAAATTTAGGTAGCTTCATAGAGACAAGCTTCTGGTTTTTGTTCCTGAAAAATAAATAAATAAATGTAGAAGTAGAGAACTAGAAAGAGAACTGTTGGTTAAACATATCTTGTGATACAGAGTTTTGGTGCCCTTAGTGAAGACACACAGTACTGATTCCAGTGATCCCTACCTGCAGGATAAATGTCTGCTGAACTTTGTCTTTCATGATGAAAAGAGAAGTGTGAAGTCCTATGATACAGATGAGAAAGAAAAAAAATCCACCTATTCACAAAGGGGACTAACTTCCCTGAAAGAAATGGTCAGGACTTAAACCAAACCACAAACTGAACAGGAGCCCAGAGTGCAAACCAATTGTTATAATTTGTCTAGAAAAGGTCAATCTTATTCTAGGACTACAGGAGCGGTACACATTTGGTACTAGAAAAGAAGCATGCCACAGGTCTGTGCAAACATAAGTGATAAGGAAGACGTGAAGAACATTTGCTATTTCTCACGATGCAAGAGCTAACGGGGAGGGAGGGAGCAGTGGTTAAATTGCCAGGCAAACACATCTGAGACAAGCTGTGGGAAATATGTTTTTTGTGTGGATAGCACGTAAATTGAGGAACTCAGTGTCACCAGATGCTTTGAAGATTAACCATAAGATTTGTCTAACTTCTTTTTCAACCAATTAGCCCATCAGGGCCTATTAAATATGATGATGCAGATGCAACCACCAGTTCAGGAAGTTTTTAAACCACTGATTGCTGAATGCAGAGACAGACTTATAGATTAAGTATAGTAGGATCCTTACATTTTCCCTATTCATTACTGAGCAGCACTAGATACCTTATAGTGCACTGAACTGTCGTGTATGACTTGCTATTAGGTTACATGTATTTTTCTACCATTGCAGATTTAATCTCTACCTTAGCAGAGTTTTAATCTCTTCTAGGCCTCACACTTACCCAAAATGCAAGCTAGTTAAAGGAAAATTAGTAATATTGATAGTTTAGGAATTACAGTGAACAACAACAAAAAGTTAGAAAGAACATACTTGTTTTGCCTCACACAGGAAAGACTTAAGGAATATATGGCAAAATACCTTAAATGTATAAAAAAATGAAATTAAAGAATATGGCTTAAGTTCTCTCCATCTAAAAAAATAATAAATTCTGAATTTATTATAAGCAAGATTTCAGTTAATCAGTGCAATAAAACTTCATAACTGTAATGTTAGTCAAGCATTATTGTAGACAACTTCACTTAGACTGTGGGATCATCTTCACGTAGGATCCAGGAACAGGTTTAGACAATTAATCAAAATGACTAGGTGTTCTATACGGGATGGCCTAGATATGCCTGATACTGCCTTTGTACAGAGGAAGAACCGCATTCATTTACTAAGTTTTTTCCCTGCCTGCATGTCTAGGACACCCAAGGATTCAAGATGCCAAGAATAAATCTAGTGAAGACAAGAGAATGCAAAGTGCAGACTAGGCAATACACAAAGGGAGTCAAAGTCTCCCCCAAGAGGACAGCCTCTGAGTATTTCTAAATAATACCTCTCTGGATATTTCTAAAGCCTTGTAAGACTATCCAAAACAATGTTATAGCCTGTTTTAGAAAGGCTCAGTAGCAAAAAAAAAAAAAAAAAAAAAAAAAAAAAAAAAAAAAGCAGAATGGAAGCAACCCTCTTTCCAGGGAAAGAGTGTTTCTTTTCTTTACATCCCACGTTCACTGTCACACCTCCACAATTCAAAACCTTGCAGCTTCCCTGTTTCCTGCCCACCAGACAGGAAATAATGCCTTGCAGCCAGTCACAGCTATGCATAGCACCAGCTGGCCAGCCCACATCATGGTGTTTGACAAAACAGATGCTGGGACACTGTCACAGCTGAGCTTTGCTGGTCTCATCCTCAGTAAGGGCACCAGTCTGTGTTTCTCTCTTCTACCTACTCATGTCTTTCATTAGATTTATAGGTGCTTTACTATTGAGGCAGAAAGACCTCTGCCTAATTCATCATCACTGATAACTAGGAAATAACTGATTCAGGTGATGAGTGGTTCACCCACTGGTTTCAATGGGCCATATCTTTCCTTTAGCCTGCTGAATATAAGATTAAGAGATGACTTGACAACAGTCTAGATGCACCTGTGTTTCACAAGAGGGCCTTCTCTTACCACTGCCACAGACACAATAAGCTCAAGTGGCCTCATACCGAAATCCTGACTAGGAACATAGCACACCTTCTTAATGCAGACTTTTACTAACCTTGTAATCTAGCTTAAAAAGTTGCAGATTCTCCTCCCCTGGCCATTCTTGAATCAAAGCTAGGTTATTTTCTAGAAAACATTTCATACAGGTTTATGTTAGGCAGTCAAGACCTAACACTCATCTCAGTGCTTCTTGTGGCTCTTCCTTCTTCTGCCCCTTCAGCTTGATGTTGCTGACCTTCTGACTAATTGCAGGGGGCACAGTGCTTGTGGCTGGGCCTTTCACACAGGCATCTCATTATATCTGTGACCTTATTAATGGTGCAGACTGTCAACAAAAGTAGTGTGGCACCTGTTCTGTTCCAGGTCATTTTAGGTCATTTCCCACTTACTCTGATATTTTCTTCTTCAAAGAAAAGCACAACAGACTCACCCAGGCATGCCTCATATCCCCCAGCAGCCTCCAGTTCCCCAGCATCACAAACAGCTTGTTTCTGGCACAGTTTTCTTTCCTAGGCTGGTAACTGTGGTGCTTATAGCTAACAATCTATTAGCTGTAATTAAACAGCAGGTGCTGCCTCAGGAATCAGCTGCTCTAATCTGTTGTAGCAAAATGGTGAAAACATCCTCCGTTTGGGAGATTTGAGTCAGATGGCGCAGAGACCGTGGGTTAGAGGACAACAGATGAAATGACAAAGCGATGTTCAGTAGATCCAGTAGTATAGCTGCATTAAGCTGCAGGCCTTGGTCCAGCGTGCAGAATACAGAATTAAGTCTAAATAACCTCCAACGGACCAGTAGCGTTTGCTATCCTAAAGCATGGATGTCCCCCTGCTAAAATGAGAGTTTGGCACTGCCTGAGCCCTTGGCAAGTGACAGTCTGTGGGCACGACAGGTGAAGTACAGTAGAGAGCAGGCAAGGAATTTTGTTTGGGGCAGACTCAAGGCATGCCAGGCCCAGAAACCTGGTCATGTCCCCTTCCCTCTGCCAAGTCTCCACATGAGACTGGGCTCCACGCATTCAGACAGGAATATCTCAAGAACTGCCCACGTGCCTCTGGCAATAATGCTCTAACCTCTTGCAATAAAAACAAAATGATAGGCAGCTTTAGTCACCGACAGCTGTAAACACAGCCCCTCTCACCACTGCTACACTCACTTAATTGTATCATTCTGCCCCCTCAGAGCACACACACTGCCTGCTCATTGAGCACGGGAAGGATGTGGTTCACCAAGAACCATTTTCCAAATTCATCCCAATTGCTCAATTAATTATCCTTTAGCTTTGACATGAGGAACTAGTTTCTACCTTCTGCAGCAGGACTATTTTTAGTAAAGCATCAATTTTCTCTGTTTTGTTATCCTTTACTGTGTTAGTCCTGCCCATACAACAAATCTGGCATTGATCGCTTGTGGTAGACAAATATTTTGGCTTAAGCTATGAAAGAGGCAACAGGAGGAGGGTAGAGAAAAGGAATTTGAATAACCAGAAAGAGTATCGCTGTAAATCAGAGTTCCCACGGAGAAAGCAACCCTAATAGAAAGAAATTAAATACATATATATATATATTAGTATGTAGAAGTGAGTAAGTGTTTGTGAATGTACAACCACATATGTGACAAGCACCCCTCAACCTCTGCCAGTACAAATTCAGGTTAGTAAAATATACGTGCATATGAAGGGAGGCTTCAGCTTTGGCTAGTGTTCATGGTGTGGCAAAGACAACCCTGCCCACTACACAAGATCACCCCTTCCTACCAAACTATGGACCTAGTTCAACAGGAGAGGCAAGACTTATGGATCATTTTGTGGGCACTTCATATCCTCACAATGATTTCAGACTCTGAACAGCTGCCAGAAAAGGGATTGATCTTATCAGAGATCTCACCTCTGTGCTAATTGCTTTCCTGGCTGATTGAAATGAAAATAAGCAGTAGGGGTACTAATGGGAGCCAGACACTGTATTCAAGAAAACACTGCTTGAATGCTGGTCCTGCTACTTGCACAGAAAAAAAAAAAAAAAAAAAAAAAAGGGAGAAGTCAAAAGGAGGTGTCCTCCTTGTCAACATTCATCCAGCTTGTAATGACATTAACACCTGAAGTGATTTGAAGCGAATGGCTTTAAGGCACAATCCAACTCTGCTTGTTACCTGCAAGGTCTCACTTTCCATGGGTGACACCTGGTGCCATGTGGCTGCTGCTGCCCCCCTACCCCAGCAAGAGCCTTTCAGGAACTGTGTCACACAGTCTCAGCCCCTTAATTGCATGTTCTGTCCCTCACCCAGGTCCTCAGAGCACACCCTCTTTCCTTAAAAGAGGCTCTGTGCATGAATCCAGAGCTCGACTAACATCCTCTGGTGCTTACCTGTTCTGTGGCTGGAGGATACAAGTGAGGAAGCAGCATAAACACCCAGCCTGTGAGTGCAAGGCTTTAGAAGCAAAAGGCCTCCCAAAATCATGCAAAAAAAAAATCATGCAAGTTTCAATGCCTGAAACTTGACTTTTTTTTTTTTTTTCTTTTTTTTCTTTTTTTGACGCAAGACAGCAAGGAACAGACTTGGCTCTGGCTGAAGATGTCACTAATGCCATATAGGTTCTGTTACAGGCTGAGGAACCTATAGCAGAATGGGAGCCAAAGACAGAGGCACCAGAAAAGATTGAGGAGGCAAAATAAGAGTACAAAGTCTTCACAAACCACTTGTCATTGCGTACATACGTGCCTACCACATTTCTTCTTCAGTCATGATTTTGATTCGTGCTAGTCCTGAATGTTATCTCCTGCCATGGTGTGTGCATGAAAGGAAAATAATCCTCATGGGATCTGGAATTCTTGTATTCCTGACTCCCCATGCTTCTCAGGACCACCGAAAGAAACAACTGCTCGCACCCAGGCCAGGTGCTGGAACAGCTTGGACTGGGATGCACTGCCCAGTGGAGACACAGTTTAGCAGCAGCTGAACCTGGAGATCAGCCGGTGCCCCAGACTTTAAACCTTTCCACAAACTCAGTCTTTCTGTCATCTTTACTGCGGTGCTCACAGAAGAAATGCTTCAGAGTGCCCTTGGCTGTGATGAAAGGCCAGGGATCAAGGGACATGCAGTCAGCCAGTGGGATGGCTTCTGCAGACTCCTGCTAGATCTCTGTCTGCAGGCAGCATTTCACCAGGGGGATGTGTGAAAAGCAAGGCCGTTGGGATGTGTGTGGGCATGAGGCAGACTGGGGAGGAATCTCCCTTCTAGAGAACAGAGGAGCTTAAACCAAACCAGTAACAGAAAATGAGTATCAGAGATGTCTGTGATCAGTCCAAATACACAAGCTGTCTACAGACATGAATACAAGACATGAATACAATGTCTTGCAAGACATGAATACAATGCAGAGAGGGAAAGGAAATCCTGTAGGAAAACAAACAAACAAACAAACAAACAAAATTTATATTAATGATAGGCTCCACAAGAGTTTTCAGGCAAGGAGCACGGTTCGGGAGACAAATTATCAACCAAAGCACAGCTTCCAGGACTGCTGTCGGTAGCTCGGAGGAACAGCAGGGGAAGGTTATTAGGCTCCACCTAGAAGCCTGCCCCAGAGCCTCAGGCCAAATGCTGCATGCCATCCACTCCCCTAGGTGCGGCCAAAGCCGCCAGCATCACCGCGCCCTCGCCAGCTCTGCGAAAGGTTGCCGTGCACTGGAGGAGCCCTCTTCCCATCCTCCACCTCTGCAGAGCCAAGCAAACAAACAAACAAAATACCCAAAATAATGCCAGCAGATTTTTTTCCTCTGGATTCCCATCTTCCTGTCATGGAAGTAACAATTCAGCACTTTTTTCACTCACTTTAAACGGAGAAAGATTGATCTGTTTGGGATTCTGCCAAGAAGATCTCAAGCTAGACTTAGCTTAGACTCTTAGGTCCTGTTTTTCCCCCATCTGTAAAACACAGGTAGCCAAACATCTCATTCCTCCACGCCCTTTCTGTCTGGCCAGAGCATACATCCTGCAGTTGAGATCTGGTTATGGTTGTTGTTAAGACTTGAGGAGGCTACGGGTTCACAGGGGAGCTGAGTTTAACCCAAACTGCCTAAGAAAGCAAAAGATCTTTCTTTTCACTCTTGTTCACAAGGAGCAGCACCCATACAGAGCTACTTCTGCAGTACCACCCGCTCACATTGTGCAATCCTCCCCAGGAGGATGAGGGTAAAACTCTGCAAATGAAGCCCCCACCCTTCCATGTGCTAATCGGCACATCTCGGGAGGGCAGAGGCTCGAGTCTTGCTTCCTCCACTGGCACCACACCTAAAATATAATTTATTTTTCAGAAGGTGGGGGATTTTTTCATTTTTTCCCCATTTTAACCTTTTGCAAGGGTGTGGAAAGTGAATAATTCCAACTGAGCATTCCTTACCTAACAAACTTACAGTTTGCTTCTTAATTAGGAATTTAATAAATGCAACTTAATTATCTCTTAACACGATTACTTTATTAATGCCCACGGCCATAGCCCTTTAGGGCTCTTGATCTTGTCAGATCTCAAAAACTAGGCTGAGTCAACACTTGAATAAACAGCTGCCAATAAAATACCTGGTGCTGCCAGAGGTGGCATTTGCATTTCACTAGATGATTCCCTTCCCAGCCCGAACTCTGTATCTTCATCCAGTCCCAGTGCCAGGCAAAACTTTGCTCTCGGAAGCTCCGTTTCTGTGTCAGATAAAAAGTGACAGAACTGACCGTTTTCGATGCAGTTTGCAGCAAGCAAAATTTTAGAAGCCTGCTGGCCATGTCCCAATCCAGCTGGAGTAATTACAGTTCCCTTTCCATGCTTGAAGGGAACTTCAGTTTTCACCAGGAACCAGTTTTCTCCGCTTCTCAAGAGCTGTTGTGCAATGCTGCCATATACTGTTAAGACCTGTCTACATGACAGACTCCTGGAAACTTTTTAGGTACCTGAAGTACCTATAAAATGCTCCTTAGCCATCTGTAACTTTCTGGCTGTTAGGATGTATTAGAAGAGGAGCACGTATGAACAACTCTTTTTAAGGCCACCTAATCATTTCTGTTCTCAAGTGGCTTTTTTCAGTTGTAGGCAACTTCATTAAACTTTAACTTTTTCAGCTGGAATTCTGCCCTTCTGGTTTCTGCCTAATATTTTTGGAAAGTTTGGTTCAGATGTTTTTCAGTTTTAGGGCAGTGAATAGGCAAGGAAAAATACAACTGCTGCCATCATTTAAATGTTAAAATAAATTTTCTGTAATCTCATCTTGAGCAATCCTGTTCTTCAGCAAGAGGAGAGAACTTTTAAAGTTGGCTCATCCATGCACTTGTTAGTTTTCCAGTGAAAACACATCTCAAAATAGCTGAAACACATCAGTGCCTACTGAACTAACCTACTCAGGATACGCTACTTAAAATCCAGGAACAAATCCAGAGATGAGTTTCTCAGGCATTAATTTCTCAATAGCAGTAATGGTGATGGAGTTCATGACACTTCAGTGCTAGAAAAGACTTTCTGTAGAGCCAGTTC